GTGCAGCCACTGTGGAAAGCAGTATGGACTTTCCTCAAAAACTAAAAAATGAAACTGCTTTTTGACCCAGTGATCCCACTTCTGGGAATATATCCTAAGAATCCTGAAACACGAATCAGAAAGAATATATATACACCTATGTTCATAGCAGCGTAATTTACAATAGCTAAGATCTAGAAACAGCCCAAGTGCTCATCAGTAGGTGAGTGAATAAAAAAGCTGTGGCACATTTACACTGTGGAATACTATGCAGCTGTAAAAAAGAAGGATCTCTTATCCTTTGGGACAGCATGGATGAACCTGGAGATTATGCTAAGTGAAATAAGCCAGCAGAGAAAGACAAACATCATATGACCTCACTTATATGTGAAATCTAATGAACAAGATAAACTGACTAATAAAATAGGTCCAGAGACATGGAAGCATGGAACATACTGACAGGTCTCAGGGGAAGGAGGCCGGGGGGAAAGGGAAGAGATTAACCAAAGAACTTATGTGCGTATATGCATAACCTATGGACACAGACAGTAGTGTGGTGAAGGCCTGGGGGGAGGAGAGCAAGGTGGAGGAGATCAATGGGGCAAAAAAGGGGACATCTGTAATACTTTCAACAATAAAGATAAACAAACAAATAATAAATGGAAGCATAGANCCAGATAAACTCCCAGAAGTGGAATCACTGGGTATTAAGGCAGTTCCGTCTTTAATTTTTTGAGTTTTCCACAGTGGCTGCACTAATCTTAGTCAAAGGAAACCATTAACAAAATGAAAAGACAACCCACTGAGTGGGAAAGCATATTCATCAATGATACGTCTGATAAGGGGTTAATATCCAAAATTTATAAAGAACTTACAAAACTCAACACCAAAAAACCCAAACAATCCAATTAAAAAATGGGCAAAAGACCTGAATAGACACTTCTCCAAAGTGGGCATGCAGATGGCCAGTAGCTATATGACAAGATGCTCAAAGTCACTAATCGTTAGAGAGATGCAGGATGGCTATCACCAATACAACAAAGGACAAGTGTTGGCAAAGGTGTGGAGAAAAGGGAACCCTCCTGCACTGTTGGTGGGAATATAAACAGTCTCTTTTTAAATGTGATTTTAATTTTCTTCAAGTTAATTCATATACACAGTTTAAGAAATCAAATCATTTCAAGACTTATAAAAATATACAGCCAACCTCATTTTCAGTTCCCAATTCCCAAAGGGAGTCATTGTCAGCTTCTTAGCTATAAGTTGCTTTTAAACCCCCTATTTCTAGGTAATTTACTTATGTAGGTGTTTCTGCTTTTTCAGATTTAAAAATTATACTGAATCCCTGTTACGATAGATGTGAATTTAACCTTTTTTCACATCCCTGTCCTTCCCTCAGTGTTTACCTTTCAGTATAGTTATATCACAATTTTTGGTTAATTAGTATTCTGTGTTTAGATTATTATGACTAACCAAATATTTTCTGGGGATATAATTTTTACTTGGAAGTTATATATTTCCCCTAGAATTTTAAAATATTTGCTGTTTTCTTCTCACTTCTTTTGTTGCCCTTGAGAAATCTGCCATCTGATTCCTGATATTTTTTGTGAGATCTGTTGTGTGTTTTTTTAAAATTTCCTTTCATGAAACTCTTGGCCTTTTCTCTTTATTCCTAGTGTACTAAAATGTCACAATAACATACCCAGGGTAGATTCTTCTGCAGTATTTGCTAGACATTTAGTAGCTTTTTCAATCTGAAAATTCATGTATTTAGGATTGGGGGTAAGGGGGTGGAGAGGCAGGGAATCCTAATTCATTAAAGAGCTTCAGCTTCTCCACTTTCTTTGTATAGTTTTCTTTGAAGTTCCCCTTATTTGGTTGTTGACTTCCTTAACAACTTTAATTTTCCTAGTGTCTGCAGGGTAAAGTTTCTTGCCAGAAGACACACAACTAAAAAGTGGCAAAGCCTACATTAGAATATAAATCTACCTGATGAAGATTTGTTCTTTTTTCCTAATCCATAGTGATAGATTATCCTAGTGAAATATACAAATGAAGTTGATCTGTATCAAATATTATTAGTATAAACACTGTGTTTAAAAGAAAGAAGTTCTTGTAGGAGGTAATATAGCATATCAGAGCTAAAGTAATTATGTTGTTTGCAGCTTTATTAGGATCTTTAATTTAATCAGACCAAATTAAACACTTTGTAGTTGAGAAGAAGAAAAGGAATGAGTTCTGATCTCATAGACCTATGTCACAGGAAGTCTGTAAGGAATTTTGGACCCTGTCCTTTACGTCATGTAGAGATAGGGGTGGTTATAATTTCTTCTGCCTGAGCTCACAGTCATAGGCTGAGATGAGATAATAGGAAGAGAGGAATACTTCATTCCTATTTATGTACAGAGATTTCTGTTTCCTATTCTTGTACTAACCTGTTAGTATGAATTCTTATGCTCTTTGTTGCACTATTTTTTTTAATGGACTTGTGTTCTTGATAATATGGGAAAAAGAAAAAAGTAACACTATTGGAGACTCAGATTAGCAATGAGAGGATCAAAACAAAACATTCTGAATTTTTATTCATGAGAATTAAGTTCTACCTAATGCTCATATCACTGCTACGAAGCATTTAACAACCTTTACATTTCTCAGGAACTGCAAGGTCTCCAACTTCCTCTTTGGTAGTATGCCTTGGAACAAATCCTGAAACAGCCCCCTCTAACATTTTTATGGCTGGATAGAGCTTGCTTTTTTAAAATTAGAAATAAATGGCCAGTTCTATCAAAAGCCTTTTTTCCTAAAGCATCATAGTTAAAAAATTTTTTCTTTTAAGAAATAAAATATTTCAAATTGATATTGTAGCACAGTACATCTTTGCAAAATACTTTTGGGAAGGTGAATGTTACTGTCACTGATTTTGGAAACCAAGATATTTGACTCTGACCCTTACCAAGGTTGTCTTTCCCTGGTTTCCCATCACGGAAGAACAGTTTCCTGAAGGAGTACCAAACTTTCATATTTGAATAAAAGGTACTTCACAGAACTCTTCAGAATATGCTGATATGTATTTTATATTCATTAATCTTGATAACTTTACTGGGGAAAAACAAGTAAATATGCTGAATTTTTTTTTATATACATCTCTATATGTTACAGATATTACAGGGCAAACAGATTTCCTTTCAGGGCTGTATATCATGGCATGCATAATACAGTAAGTGATGTTTATGTAAAATTAACTATAAAGTTTATACTGTGTTCATCTTGGTTTATGGATCCTATGTCTTCATTTATTTCCTTTGAATAGTTAAAGGGTATTTATGTTAAAGATCCTTAACATTACTAGGTTGTTTTTGGTTTCTGAGGAATAAATATCTTTGTTTGTTGTGGCCACTGACTGTTTCTCTTGGCGGTGGGCAAGTAGATTTAGTGAAGTTTGTCAGCAGTTTATCTTCAGTGGGGAATGATATAAGAATGCCTCCAGTGCCCTCCATCGTGGATACATCCTTATCTCATGTTTGTGGTTGTCACTAATAGGGCCCCATGGGTTCTGCCTGTTGTAGCCCAGGCAGTATAAATATGGGCCTAATTTTTCTCTAGAGATTTTTATAGCCTGAGCAGATCCCTCACTTCTAGTTGTAATCCTGGACAAGCCAACAGAGTTCCCTGTCTCTGTATATAGACTGTCCTATTTTTTGTAGTTCACTGCTTCATCTAGGAAGCTCAGTTTTAGTTCCCTATTATGCACAAACCCTAACCCCAGCTTCTAGTAGCTCATTGAGTTACTTTAATTCCTACTGTCTACTTTGGCTATGAGTATGCTCCCTCTTCATTTCTAGCACTTGGAAATTTCTCTTTTGTACTTCAAATGTAATATGTAATTCTAAAATTGGCCTTTCTTTTCTCAAGGCCATATCGAACACTTCTGTATGTAGAAGAGGGAAGAATTCCTGTTCTGTACATCTTGACTGAAAGCCATATTGATTATCGTTACAGAATTAACATAATTCAGAATGTTCCCCAAATCCTTGTTTTTTCCTGCAGAAATTGACTTAATATAGGTACTCAGGTGCACTTACATGCTGTATATAAATTGCATTTTCTAGTAGTTGCATACTCATAACTACATGTGTATACTCATAACTACATGTATAACTATTTCCAACTTAATCATATATCTTTTTAAAATAGAATATTAAGCAAAGTGAGACATGTAAGCATATTAGAATTTAAAAGTTGGAAGAGACAAAGTTCATGAACATAAAATATTAAGCTCACAGTTATTTAATTGCTGAGGCTAGGTGAAATTGATGAGGATACTATTTTACACAATCTTTTCTGTACCTTAAATTTACCTTTTTAATGTTGGAAGAGTTCTATTCAAATGTGAGTCTTTCAGCATGTTTAACTTACTGCATTGCTATACTGTTTTGAATTCTGTAGTCAATAACTGACTATATTTTTGAGCTTAAACATATTTGCAAAACGAAAGAACATTAATTTATAAACATGGTAATCAACTTTGACAGTTTGTTCTGGGAATAGCAAAGTATACTTGTATGACTCAAAAGTTTCTCCACCCTAAGACAGACAAGGAACATTTCCAGGAACAGAAATATAAATAAAAGTTACCTAGTGCTTTGTGAAATATACCCTGGAATAGATACATTATAGATTTATAGATTTTTATAGGTATTTTCTTTTTATAGTTACTTTACTGATTAAATAAAACATTTCAAGAAATGTAACCAGTTCTTATCTAACATCAAATGGGGTATTTTATTTTACTATTTTTGTTTTTGTGTATGAGGATAGCTTGCAGAATTTCCCTAGTTCAGGGTGAAAGGAGCTGATGTTATTGGAATAGTCACCTCTTTGGATACTTAAATAAGGAAAACAAACAGACATATTGCAAGTTGCATATATTTTCTCCAAGTTTAAATTATCTGATGTTTTTGTAATGTAGTCTTTCAGGACCTTTTTAAAATTCTACTTTTTACTTAGTTTAAATAAGTTAATTGTTAACTGACTTGTTTAAATATTAAGACTCTTACTTACCTGATGAAAGTACACTGTACATACATAATATGGTAACAATTATAAAATAACTTTGAAGAAATATCAGAAAATAAACTCTGCTTTGGTTAAGCCTCTCTCTATTGCTTTATTTTGAAAGTCTTACACCTACCTATATATGTAGTATTTAAGTGATGCTGACTTAAAAAATGTAAAACTATCAAATCAAATATTTATATTAAATTTTATAATTACTTTTAGTACTCTAGCTAAAACATTAAAAAAGTCAGTACTTTGATATTTCACAGTAGTCCTTTTACAAGATTATTTTCTAATTTCCTCAAATTAATTTTAAAATATTCTGGAAACAACAGTGAAGAAATTAACTAAGACCTTCTAGAAAATTATCTTAAGTTTTTAAAGGTTATACGTATGTGTCAGATTTGGGCACAAGCTTATTTTCAGAATTCATTGTTAAGTGTTCTTTAAAGCAAGGACAGTATGACTAATGTATAACCAGTCTATAAAAGAAAGAGTTTTACGTTTGTTCCTATAGGATCTGACTTTCCAGCGTTTCAAAATGAGAAGCTATTTTTTTTAAAGGACTTAAAAGAAGTTGATTTTTATTATAGTGGTCTAGTTCTGAGACCTCTAAACCCAGATCCTGTTCAATTTATTAGCAGTATATACAAGCAGATCAGCTGCCGGTAGCCTGGTCCAAATCTGAGCAAAACAAGTAATTTTAGTTATCTGTTGAGCTATTTTTAAATGTCACAGATTTCAGGCTATGGGTGCTTCATATTAAAAAGAAAAAAAAGAGTGGTTTATTACCTTTGTCTTGCTCCTTTTGTTGCTTTTCCACCTGCCGTGTTGGAGTCCTGCCTTTGAGAGAAAAACTGAGTATCATCTGTAACGTTTTGATCAAATTAAGTCTCTAGCTTACAGTTCACAGGCAATTTCTGTACATTTTCATATAGTTAACTTAATTGAAAGCCAAATAAGTTTGAGATAAAGTTGTCCTTTTGCTTAGAAGAACAAATTGCTTACTTCACGCCTGGAGAATCCGGTTCTGCCAGTTAACCGCCCATTCTTTAGATTAAAGGAAGATCATTTTCATTGGAGCCAGTTGGTAACAGGAAGTCCTTGTTAAACCAACTACATAGGGTATTTGGACAGGCTCTGTAATTCCATTTCTATATTATATATAAAGTGCATTAACCACTAAAACGGGGGTTTGTATTTAAACAAAGTTTACTTTGTTTTCTTTAGGCTTCAGAACTTGCTAAATATACAGAATTCGGAATAAATAGGAATGGAAAGAAGCTCGGTGTAAAAGCTTTTTGTTCCACTTACTTTAAAATGTTTGAATCCTATCCTATTTTAGGAAATCCCAAGAGCTTCACTCATAAAGTCATTGAATTTCAGAACTACAGCTGCCAGAAAAGAGCTCCTGTGTTTAAGCCTCCCTCCCCATTTTTCCTGTTATTATACCTGCTATTTTTGAAGTTTCTTCCAGAGTTTTCAATATAGAAAAACTAAAGTTATGCTGTAATATGTTAGCTGTTTATTGTCAATAGAACAATTCAAAATTAATTTTTACCAGAGTGAAATATTGGTTTGAAAAATTAGAAATGAGATGTCTCCAACAGTAGTAAATTTCCTTACCATCCCTTTTTTTTCTGCCTGATTTTTATGATTTGAGGGTGAGAGGAGGGACATTGGTATAATTTCTATCAAAATCACATTTGCCGTTATTCTTTGATTTAGTGGCCTCACTTCCTGGAATCTGTTCCCAAAATAAAAAGTAACTCGTTCCCACACTTACTCTTTACAGCACTCCTTATGAAAACAAAGCACTGGAAACAACCCAGAAGTCCTTCAGTGTGGGCTTGGCTGAATAAATGATGAAATGGCCCTGTAATGAGCATTTTGTTCATTTATAAAGAATATAATAATAAAGAAGATGTCTTTACAATTCTTCAGGGTAATTTTAGGATTTAGTGTTTAAAAAAAAATGGAAGGTGGTACACAAGAGTATATATAATATGCTTGTTTCTGAGAAGGAAAGGGAGTGTGGAGATACATATACACCCCCCCCCCC